GGTCACATCACAGGAGAGTGAACTGTCTGTCAGAAATCATAGCACGTCAGCTGTCTTAACCGCGGCTTGTGTACTGCATCATCACTGTGTCTGTCACGCGACTCTGTTGCCCTTTCGGCTTGAACTGATGGTAAAACTAACAACATTATTAACGGTCTTGATATTTACTTTGAAAGCTGACGCTCGTGATTATGGTAAGGGGCGTTACATTTCCGACGCGTGCTTGTGGTGTTCGGCCAATCACAATGCACTGGGTCAGCTGGCCAATCAGAGCAGACTGCGCTTGTCAAAGGAAGGGGCTTTGTTGAAAACGACGCGTTTGAGAGAGGCGGGGCATAGAGAACCTACAATAATGTACAGTATTTGAAAAAGAATGTGTTTTTTGAACATTAAAGCATGTCAACATATTCTGTTACACCAAATACACAAAATAATGATCTTTAAAAAAGCATCATATGACCCCTTTAAAACAAGTTAGCATTAAAAAATAAGCAGCCTGTGGAGCCCCTAAGGGGACATGGTGATTGAAAAAAAATGAGATGGGAGGAAAAATTATATTTTTACTGTTTTGCGTTCCTCTCAAGAAACTTTCCCTGCACTCGCAAAAGCACTGAAATACAATTTTTCTTCCCAACTCATATTATTTCCATCAATATATATATATATATAATAAATAATCCCCACGTCCTTTTAGGGGCTCCGTAGCAGTCATATTAAACATTGAAAAATTATATTACTTACTTCCAGTTGCAGTAAGCCCTCAACATTGTCTCGAACCTCAGTGTTTCTATTAAATTGGGAATCATAATAATACTATTATGGCATTGGTATTCAATATGTAATTGGATAATGTACAGACAAAAGGGTGGATTTTTTGATAATGATTTTTTTATAACCAACTGACTATACATCATTCTGTTTATTACGTTGCTACTTACCAAATAAAGAAATACATTCATTTTATTGATGAATAATTATTGAATTGTGATTGGTACAAGGGTCAGTTAAACAGTTTATTATGCTAAATATTTGACCCTTGAATGCCAAGACCAGCTACATTCATACTCACCGAAAGAACTGTTCCCATAAACTTTCTGCTTCCTTTTGGTTTTTCACACCCAGACTGAAAGAAAACATTCATATCATGCAATGTTTATTATTTTGTAGCACAACAGAATATGTCAAATATGCACCATGGCAGTGTTTAAAGACAAACACACACACCTGTTCAAGAACTTGGCACCTGCTGACATCAGACCGAATAAAGGACGAATTTTATTATCGACAATTGCTTGCAAAGAACCACCTAAACAACAGTAGCAAATGCAAAACACAAACATTTGTCATAGACTCGGACTGTGTTTATACACGCATGCATACGGTAAATACATACTACATACATGTGCGCACCAATAATATCTCACTGTTTAGGATACCTTTGGCGATGTCCTTTTCTACATTTTCCAACGACGTCCTACCAAATGCGATCAGTTCTTTCAGAGCCCCTGTGAGTGTGTTTTGGGCCTCTTCAGGAGCCATGCTGAGCTCACAGTGAGTTACTCGTTCTGTACGGATGACCTGTCGCCGAACCTAAGCGCTGATTGGTTAAACCTCATCAGCGCTGAGAAAAGTAACAGATACCGCGTGTCATCGCCGTGGCGTTCCAGCAGCAGCACTTTCATAGAAATTGAACTGAAAACACTCAGCGACCAGTTCAAACAATAAAAATAAAAAGATTACTTTGAATCACCATAACTGACCAGCAGTGTTGGGGAAATTTACTTTTAAAAGTAATGCATTACAATATTGCGTTACTCCATAAAAAAGTAACTAATCACGTTACTTAGTTACTTTTTATGGAAAGTAACGCGTTACGTTACTTTTGAAATCTGGACAGGGCTTGCTTGTTTGTTTTTAAAATAAAAAAAGTTCTATTTTTGGCAATTATAAAAGCCTTTTCACACCAAAAGTGAAATGAATAAGCCTCAGGCTGAAGGGAAAGTAAATTTATGTCCGTACAGTAGAGTGCAGTTAGAAAAACACTTCAGCAATAAACAAAGACACAAATGTTGGTCTAGAGTAATTTGTGCTTATCAGTACGCTTGAACTGGATCATCGAAGGTCAGAAACAAAGACATTGGTTAATAGAACGGGATTAAATACATAAAGCATATTTGTGTTGTTTAACATTTAATTATTGCAGGTTTGCGTCATATTCTGAGTTGCATTATTTGTATTCATTTTGAGGAATACTGAATCTGTGTGGTGTTGTTTTTTGTGAGTGAGATGAATTAATGCATATTCATATTTATTTTAGGACTACAGTAACACATTGTTTGTGTTATGAAACGTGTAAGAACTAAAATGGTACAACTGACTACTTTAATACTTAAGTTGCTTAGTTTATGTAGATTTTAAAATTTTAGTTTCAATATTTCTTTAGATTTAGAGATGAAACTGCCCTGAGAGGGTTTTAGCATGATGTAACACATTCACATTCACTGTAAAAAAAATGACTGCTGCGATAATTTATCACAACTTAAAAGAACAAGTAATAACGTGTTGTTTCAACAACAAAAAAAGCAAATGTTCAAGCTTCACTTAAAATTATAGTTTAGTTAAGTTTATTTTTGTTAAGTTGGATATATTAGTTCCACTACTGAATAAAAAGTACGACTTTTTATCTTACAATTTTGACATATAACGCGCAATTCTAAGACATAAACTCGCAATTAAGAGAAAAAAAGTTTGCAAAAGCTCGCAATTCTGAGAAATAAAGTCCAAATTGCAAGATATAAACTCACAATTCTGACTTTTTTCTTAGAATTACAAGTTTATATCTCACAATTGTGAGAGAAAAAGTCAGAATTGTAATACAAAAAGTCGCAATTACCTTGTTTTATTTTTTATTCAGTGGCAGAAATGGGCTTCCATAATATTTAAGTCATCTCGACAAATCTTAAAGCTGCAGTCCGTAAGTTTTGCCTGTCACTGTTTGAAACCTGCAATTGCAGTTATTTGCGGAATGATCTTCTTTACGTGGGTTGTGCATCGGCACGGCTCTTCAGCGCGGATGAATCTAATGTTTTGAGATGTGTGTGGGCTGTCAGTCAACGCACCGGTGTGGATATTCACTGTACTTCCGAATTACAGATACTACGTCTTGGAAGTACGCCCAAAATAAGACGTTTCGCCAGAAAATGTCATCTGAACAATAAATCGTGCTACCAATCGTGATTAAATCTAACAATCGCAAAGTTAGCTCAGATCACGTCAAACCGTGCAAAGACGAATGGCGGCAAACTCTGAAACCAACCCAAACCACTCAAATTAGAAATTGGTTATGTAGTTGCTCTATAATTGATTTTGGATCATTTTTAACCCCAAAAAATTTACGGAATGCAGCTTTACGTTTTTATAACTAATTGCAGCAACATTTACTACAGTGTTGCTCTGTGAATCTGCACAAGCAAAATCCAGTCATTTCATAACGGTTCAAGTGGGTGATCACGTTTTGATCTCTCATTAATTATCTCATTTAAAGGAACCGTAACATTTTTTGTGTGCACATATGTATGCAGAGACATAGATAAGTATAGTTAGATGCCACATTCGAACACTCCAGACACGTAGATGCGTTGCCATCTTGGAACAGTCAACGTGTCATCATTTACAATAAAAAAATTAATAAATCAATGAGTTTTCCAAAATTCCACAATATTTGCTATGGCTGTTCCAATATGGCAGACGGCTTACAGCAGCCTATAGAAAGGCATCTACAGTATATATACACATTATCTCACAGAAGTGAGTACACCCCTCACATTTTTCTAAATATTTTATTATATCTTTTCATGTGACAACACTGAAGAAATGACACTTTGCTACAGTGTAAAGTAGTGAGTGTACAGCTTAGTTTTCACTTAGGGGTGTACTCACTTTTGGGGCCAGCGGTTTAGACATTAATGGCTGTGTGTTGAGTTATTTTGAATGGGACAGCAAATTTACACTGTTATACAAGTTGTACACTCACTACTTTACATTGTAGCAAAGTGTAATTTCTTCAGTGTTGTCACATGAAAAGATATAATAAAATATAATAAAATATTTACAAAAATGTGAGGGGTGTACTCACTTTTGTGAGATACTGTATATGCGTAATTTTCGTGCATATTTTTTTGCCATTTCACCACCACTTTGGCAATCAAAACACTGCCTGTGAAATAAAATCGACAATGCATTTCAATTTATTGGTATTTGTAAATCATTAAGCAGCTGGTTAGTTTGATTTACAGCATTTCCATGAAAAACCTCAAACAGCCCTGTTCAATGAATTGTTGGTGTCTTTACTTAAAAAAAAGTTCACAGAAGCCTCTGCAAGGCTTCTTTTATATATATATATATATATATTTAATTGTTCCTGTACAAATATATATAAGTAAATAATATAACATATTATCATCTATCATTATAGTGGTGCATGGAGCATGCTTGCGTGTGTTCATTTAGAGAAAAACAGATAGATATCATGAAACACATACAGCTATATAGATAATAACCAGGCACACAAACCTCTCATAATTGTGTGCGATTAAGCATGTCTGAAAAACAGAATCTTTATGCAATCTGTTCTCTAAAGCACCAAATTAATCATCATATTAATCAGCAGAAGGCCTTTCACACACCTGCATATGGAAGCCGTGAGAATGAAAAACATGGCCTGCTTCATCCCACACACTGAAAATACACCGAAGAACATGAACTGTGAAGGCACGATATTTCAGAATAGTTCAGTTCTCACCGATCTCCGGTGATGGTGATGGTGAATCCGTCGTATTCTTTCCCAGGATCCTTCAGACTGGGCACTTTAGAATTGACTGTGAAGCCATCTCTGGTTTTACTGTTGAACTGCTTCAGATATACAAACACACACAGAAGCACATCAGAGAAACATTCAGTCTTTCTTCATGCGCTTTATGAGAACATGCATATGGTCTTAAATAAATATGTCTATTATTAAACACGAATGCAAGTGTCAAATGTCAAGGCATAATTATGAGCCGGCAAATAAAACGATTAGCATTCATTGCACATGTGTTTATCAAAGGCTCTCTTCATATCATTACTCACAGATCTGGCCTAATCCTAGATTACACACTCATAACTGTCATGTGTACAGGCTGTTACACATGAAGCTGTTTCTCTGACTAGCACTTATTATAGTTCTCTGTGAACAAAGATCATTTTGATTATCATATGAAATATACAGTATGAATGGTGTACAAGAAAGGGAGATCGAAATAAAATCAATGAAAGATTTAAACATTTATAATGGAATTATTTATACAGTTTAACACACTTTTTTTTATTGTTTCTGAAAGAAGTTTCTTATCCTTATACCAAGGCTGCATTTATTTGATTAATTTACAGTAAAAAGTGTAATATTTTGAAATATGATTACAATTTACAATAAGTATCGCTTTTTATTTCTCCTCTTTCCTATTACTTGTTTCAGTTTTTTTATAACCGTTTCTTACTATGTGTCAGTAAGTTGTTGTTTTTTAGCATGTGTGTTTGGCAGTGTTATTTTTTAGGATTACTGATAAACTTCTGTCATTTGATTTGTGTTATTTGTATTTATTATTTATTTTAATTTGAGTTACATTATGTTTGAATTTATTATGTCTGTATAGGTCTTTTAGTTTTATTTAATTTGAGTTATTTTAATACTTCAACAAACTAAATGGAAATGAAATAATATATATATTGAATTTATAAATGTGTATGTACATATACGGTATATATGTATGTGTGTGTGTGGTTGTACATACACATATGTAGTTGTTTTTTTTTTGTGTTTGGCTTAGTGTTATGTTAGAATCATTATTATACTCTTATACCTTTTGTTCTTTAATATTTTGAATTGTTTTTAGCTTTATTTTTAGTTTTTCATTTAAATGTTAAGTTTTGAAATTTTGTTGTATGCATTTGTCATTTATTTAATCTCTTTATTTTTAAAATGTGTAAAGGTAATATTTATAAAGTTTTAGCTTTTAGTTTTGGATCTGTTTTTAGTTGTTTTAATACTTCAATTGATTGCTTCTGTTGTCCTCATTTGTAAGTCGCTTTGGATAAAAGCGCCTGATAAATGACTAAATAAATAAAATAAATAAATTTACAAGCAGTGTTTTCCATTTTCATACATTTTAAAATGTAATTTATTCCTGTGATCAAAGCTGAATTTTCAGCATCATTACTCCAGTCTTCAGTGTCACATGATCTTCAGAAATCATTGTAATATGCTGATTTGCTGCTCAAGAAACATTTATTTTTATTATGTTGAAACAATGTTAAAAATGTTGTTATAACAAATTTGAAAAGAGCTTTAGTTGATTAAATGTTTCGTAAAAACGGTGCTACAATACCATTCAAATGCTTTAAAAAAAGCCAGCAAGGACACATTAAATGGATAAAACAAATGACAGTAAATACATTAATAATGCTACAAAATATTTCTGTTTCAAATAACTGTGACCCTGGACCACAAAACGAGTCTTAAGGGTAAATTTTTTGAAATTGAGATTTATGCATCTGATAAATAAGCTTTCCATTGATGTATGGTTTGTTAGGATAGGACAATATTTGGCCGAGATACAACTATTTGAAAATCTGGAATCTGAGGGTGCAAAAAAATCTAAATATTGAGAAAATCGCCTTTAAAGTTGTCCAAATAAAGTTCTTAGCAATGCATATTACTAATCAAAAATTAAGTTTTGATATATTTACAGTAGGAAATTTACAAAATATCTTCATGGAACATGATCTTTACTTAATATCCTAATGATTTTTGGCATAAAATAAAAATTATTTTGACCCATACAATGTATTTTTGGCTATTGCTACAGATATACCCCAGCGACTTAAGACTGCTTTTGTGCTCCAGGGTCACAAATGCCTATCATGGTTTTCATAAAAATATTATGTAGCAAAAACAGTTTTCAACATTGATAATAATAGTATGTTTCTTGAGCACTAATAATTCTTGTATTAATATTTTTTTAGATTCTTATAGCCAAAAAACAAAAACAAAAGAAAACTGAATTTATCTCAGACATTAATCGCTGGTCAACTTTTAGGGTGAGAAAGACACGTCTAGACCTAGAAACAGTCGCTGAGCTTGTCTAACCAGAAAGATTTGTTTCATTTCGTTCAGCACACAAATTATCCGGTTAATGATTAATAAAGATTAATAATAATTAAATGATTAAAAACACTGATTGTCATGTTTAACACTCATGTTACCTTCATGATGGGCAGCAGATCCTCCACTTTATTCACATTTTCCAGAGCCTGCTTTACGTCCTGAAGCCCCCGTGGGTTATACGCCCTGATGGAGAGAACACACACGCAGGAAAATAAAGTGTATTCATAAATGGACAATGAAGAAAAGATCAACTCTATGTGAGTGAATGCATGTATGAAAAAAATAAGGTGTTTGAAGAAAATAATGAATGAACAAACTAAGTTTTTAAAGGGGTCAAATGATGCTGCTAAAAAGAACATTACTTGGTGTAATGAAATGTGTTTATGCGGTTTAAGGTTAAAAAAACACATTATTTTCCACATACTGTACATTATTGTTTCTCCTCTATGCCCCGCCTTTCTGAAACGCGTCGATTTTTACAAAGCTCATCGGTCTGAAAAAGCTAGGTGTGCTGTGATTGGCCAGCTATCCAGTGCGTTGTGATTGGCCGAATTCCTCAAGCGTGTGACGGAAATGTTACGTCCCTTACCATACTGTGATGCCTACGGCAACCACATGTGATGTCCCCGGGCTGGACTCTGCTTCGTCCACGGTGAAAGCCGATCCGGTGATCCTCAGTGCGAAGTTGAAGTATTTCCTCAGCGACCAGCACGGATCAGCTCCAGGCATGACGAAGCTCACAACGAAACACACAGCGCCTTCACGACATGGCGGCGGCAACAACAATACTACAGCGAGAATAAAAGTCACGCCTTCTTTGCGTGAACATTTGGGCGGCGTTACGCAAATCTTCCCACATAGTGATGTAGATATGTGGGGGTGTGTTAGAACGAGGCGTTTTAGGTAGGCGTGGTTGATTCTTAACTTTTATAAAGAATATCTCTTTGGATTTGAGACTTTAGTTTTTGCAACTTTACAGATCTTCTTTATGCACCAAGAGCTTGTAACACTCCAAAGAGAAAGGAAAAATTTTAATTGCATCATATGACCCCTTTAACTGAACGGGTGAAGTGTTTGAATGTACAGGGTATAAAATAAACTTTTGAGAACAGTAAGCTTTTTTGACGTTTTTTTGAAGGAAGTCTCATTTGCTCATCAAGTATGCATTTATTTGATCAAAAATACAGTAAAAACAGTAACATTCTGAAATATGATTACAATGTAAAATAATTGTTTTTAATTTGAATATATTTTCAAATGTAATGTATTCCTGTGATGGTAAAGCTGAATTTTCAGCATCATTTCTCCAGTCTTCAGTGCCACATGATCCTTCCGAAATCATTCTAATATGCTGATTTGCTGCTCAAGAAACATTTATTACTATCAGTGTTGAAAATGTTCTGTTTAATAATTTTCTGCGTACATGAAGAGAGCTGTGAATTAATGAGGTGTGTGTTATTTAATGAGTAAATGAAAAAAACGAATAAAACAAATGTGTGAAGCTTGTCAGTATAATATTTTTAAACAAATATTAAAATCACACGCACAGACACACAAAAGAGACTCACCCATGATAAACCAGTATTCTTTCCTTTACGAAGCCGAGAATACTTCTGAAATACTCCAGATATCTGATATTAATGATCTGCCCTCTGAGAAATAACAGAAAACCCATTAAAACGCTAGAAAACAGATACAGCAATAGAGTTTTAGGCCTGTTTCACACCACAAGCATGAGCAGCGCATATTACAGTTTCAAAGCAGCTTTACAGAAAATGCTTACCTCAATGTTTCAATAAGAAAGTGTTCTGACAGGAAGTAAAACGATTCGCACTCTGCTAACGCTCGAAGTGTGAAATTGGCTGTATCTTCTCTGTACAGAATCGTCATTAATGATACCAATGTTGGTATAGACAATATCAGTAATATCTAATATCAGTATGGTATCAAGGCTTCTCTGTACTATTAAAGTATTTTTCAAAATTGCAAGGTTCATCATGCTTGTTTGTAGGGCTGCACAAGGTGGTCAACATTTTGGGATTATACATCAATTTGGCTATATTGTTAGTGTCTATTCTCTTTATTATTAGTGTTTTTATTACCTTCAAGGTCACATATTTTACACCTTTTTGGAGTTTTATTTTAGGTTGTGATGTCCTTATGAATATATATTTGCGGTATAAGTACCAAAAACCATCTCAATAGATTTTTACAGCTCCTCTCTCAGGAGCTTTGCTGAGAACAGGTCGATTTTGGCCTGTCTAATTAATATTCATGAGCCTCTCTTCTGATCGGCCTGTTGTTTTTTTGAGTGACGCACGGCCAGGCCAACCACAGGTAACTAGGGTCAGCCGAGCACTAGCTGGAGGCAGCAAAACAAAGGGGAAACTGGAGGCGGCCCATTCAAACCAGCGCAGATTCGGCTACATAAGGAGCTCAAAATATCATCTTGTTGTGATGTTGGGTGCCAGAATCTACATAATACAGCCTCAAATTAGACAAAAAACCGACGACAGCTGTGGTTAAACGCGATAAAACGAGCAGACTGGACAGAAACGATCGTCAAAAATGCTCGCGTTTGCAGCGCACACTTCTTATCAGAAAAGGTTCAATAAAGTATTGTCTTTCGTTGTTATGGGCGCGTCTACAGATTTCTTGCCATATGTCTATGTTTCTTGCATCTCACGACTGTCGTGTATGAAATAATGTCTGTGTGCATGTGTGTAAAACAACAAACTGACGATTTATATATAATCATTTGTAATTGTATATACATTGTTGTGATTAATTGTGGCTGGAACAATAATGTAGCTGTAAAAATAGTTGCCTGCTGAAATTGAAATGTATATACATCTTCATCATGACTAGACAGACACGGTGAGTTTGTCTTTACTTTACATGTTAGATGTGATCCACCTCAGAGTAACAATCCTGTCAGATCGAAAGTTAACCTTTTCGACATGTTTCCGTGTTGTCGTTGCTCAGCAATGGCATGGACGCGATGTTGTCTGGGGGTTTGGCAAAAGGAGAGTGGGACGGTGGGCGGTGCTCGGGTGGTGACTGAAGGTGGTGACTGTGTAGTTCTGACGTCAGCTTTTTACGGAAGTCACAACGGTTTGTGAAAAATCACAGCTACTTTATGCAGGCTGTGTGCATTTTACTGTGGACTGACTGTTTTGAAACTTATATGGTAGTTACATAGCACATAGACCTCCGTTTTTCAGTTTTGACAATATGGGACCTTTAAATTATATGTATGTCTGCACTATGTTTGTACTTTCTGCACCGGAAGCTCCTGGCACCAAGACGATTTCCTTGTGTGGCAATAAAGCTCTTTCTGATTCGGATTCTGATAAAATAATAATAATAATAATAATTATCATTATTATTACTACTACGAAATTACTATTGTGATATTTCACTGTAAAATAAAATATATATTCAAATATAATAAAATATGATTATTTTAAATTACAACTGTAACATTATTTTGATGGAAAACCAGCCTTTAAAGCTTCTATTTTTTCCCCAAAGGCATGTAAACGGAACCAAACTGGAGTTGGGGTGGATTAGCATTTACTGTGAACCGAGCCAATCTGTGCATATACTCATTTCATTAAATTGGAGCATTTGTGATTTGATAATCACACTAAGCTAAATTGCAATTTTGGTTTTATTTTACACACTGTACTACGGATCAAACACAAAATTTACTGCAAGCTCTTAAACTCGGGTGGATTCTAATTGGCTTTCAGTATTTTTCATCATCAGCAGAAAAAAAAAGTGTTGTAAAAGTGATTTCAACAATATTGTTCTTCGTGTCATTTTCAATACAGTTGTGGTGTGGAGACTTTAGATAATTACTAAAACTTCATGGTTATAGTTATCATCAACCCTTAAAAGTCAAAAGGTTCTGAAGCGATTAGGACTGGCAGCTTTACAGAGCAAATGACTCTGTACATTGAGGGCAGATACAGCACCTGATGAGGTTAATGTGGTTGTTAAATCCTCTGCTAAGACTCCTGGCAGGCATCTGATCCAACCACAGCACAGGCTGGTCTGGATCTGCAATCCTGCTCACACCCGTGAACACACACACACACACACACACACACACAACAGTAAAGATCAGTCATCAAGCCTTGGTAACACCCTCCACAGAGCCGTGAGAAGAGCTCAGGAATGCTGGCTGGAATCTGACCTTCTCCATTTCACTGCAATGTCAAACATGTCTCTCCACTGCAGCTGTCTGGTCTTTCCGTTGACTCGAACCTTCGAGTTACTCCAGGTGCGCTGCATGGCCTGCATCACCTCTAAGGTGGCCAATCCCATCGCTACACAAAACACACAATAAAAACACAAGACAACATTAAAAATGCAATTCAAAAATATGATGACTTGAATGCACCTCTTCTACGATGAATATGCTTTTTATTTTTGAATTACAATTCATTTCGATTTCTTGAAATTTAGTTGGAAACAAAGTCAAAAATTGAACTGTTTTGATATAATAATGAAAAAAAAAGTGTAATTTAAATGAAAAGATGAAAACCATATTAAGTAGTTTGGCATTCGACTTTATTATTATTATTTCTAAGAAAAACAAAAAGTCAATAAAACTGAATAAAAAATCATTAAAACCACTGCTTATTACTTAAATAAAATCAAAGTTATCTAGTGCTATCAACAAACACTTGTGGTCTAATCTACATGCAGAAAAAAACAACCTAAAACAGGAAATGGTACCATAGTTTGAGGAGCCTCATGTAGACCCTCATGACTGTGTGTCAATATATAAATATTTTTTAATTATTATTATTTTACCTTTTGATGACAAGACAATGTTAATGACAATGATAGTTCAGGTTACAAAAAATATCATGTGGTGCAACTCCTAAAGATTTAGTGATATTTATAAATGATTACACGGCTCTGTGGAATACTTGATTCTGATTGGTCAGTCGCGACATTCCGAGGTCTGTTATCCCTCAATAACAACCGGTAAAAGCTGATAACACAGGCTCATCCGGGTAACTGAAGTCGGCGCTATACGCGTACTAGGAACTGTTTATTCTTGGTGGAAGCTTTGCATTTGGTTCGCTAATAAAATATTAAAACTCAATTCAATATTATGTGTACAGTTATTTAATTATGTCATCCTGGTATCGCAGACTCGCTCTCTCGTTTAATACAAACGCAGCCATTTTGCCACGATTGTTTTGTACATTGTAATGGATTATAAGATATAACTAACACACTGGTAAGATTTTAAAACAGTTTTGTCTTAAATCAAAATCTTTTTATCGCCAAGATTATTTGTGTGGTGAAATGTTGTGTAATAAGTGGTAAGACTGCACTGTTTCCCTTAAATGAAAAGAAAGAAAGAAAGAAAAGAAACCTGGAAAATTATATTTAAAAACTAATAATTGTTTAAGCATTCAAGGTGCAAAGAAAATGTGTTATCAATTTATCCTTATTTAGTGCTTTATTTTAAACTTTTCATTAAATATCTGTATCACTTAATTATTTAGTGATTTTAAAGAGCTCTGATCTACAGAAAAAAAATGTAACATTAAAAATTATACTAAAAAACTTAACGTAAAATAATGATTGTGTACACTAACATGTATTCAAGTGTGAGTGTGTGTGTTTTTTTTTTTGTACCAATTGATATTTGATATATAGAGGGGTGCACACGTTTTTCAGTCTGGTTCTCATGAGAGCACCTGGAGATTTTGTTTTGGTACTCGCACTGCACATAGTTTGACTCATTAAATATAACTATAACAATAAACTGATTATTAATAGTGATAATAGTATTTTGCATTTATTTATTTTGTATTTTGATCAAATAAATAAAATAATCAGTGTGATACCACTATTATATTTAAAAATAAGTGTAAAATAAAAATACAGTTATTTTTTTATAGTACACTTAAAAATACAATGCTAATATTAACTATTTTTAATGAATTTTCATAACTAAAATCAGCAAGGTTTTATTTTGGCAGGTTGCCAGCAAGTAAGTATATGCACTATATGTATATGTACAGTGGGTACGGAAAGTATTCAGACCCCCTTACATTTTTCACTCTTTGTTATATTGCAGCCATTTGCTAAAATCATTTAAATTAATTTTTTTTCCTCATTAATGTACACACAGCACCCCATATTGACAGAAAAACACAGAATTGTTGACATTTTTGCAGATTTATTAAAAAAGAAAAACTGAAATATCACATGGTCCTAAGTATTCAGACCCTTTGCTGTGACACTCATATATTTAACTCAGGTGCTGTCCATTTCTTCTGATCATCCTTGAGATGGTTCTACACCTTCATTTGAGTCCAGCTGTGTTTGATTATACTGATTGGACTTGATTAGGAAAGCCACACATCTGTCTATATAAGACCTTACAGCTCACAGTGCATGTCAGAGCAAATGAGAATCATGAGGTCAAAGGAACTGCCTGAAGAGCTCAGAGACAGAATTGTGGCAAAGCACATCAATGCAGCATATTAGAATGATTAATGAAGGATCATGTGACACTGAAGTGATTTATATATTTAATATTAAATGTGAAATTGTAATAATATACAACATTACATTTGTATTGAAATTTTGCACACAAAAAAAAAATTCTAAAAGTAAAAAAAAATAAATAAATCTAGCTAGATAATTTAGTAAAGATCTGAAATAAGAGCAAATATTTACTCTTCCGTTACAGGGCTCAACAATAAGGATGGACCGGAACCAGTGTGATTTAATTTACACTCATGGAGCAATTTGTTTCTAAACTTTCTGAAAATGCTGTTGCAAATTTTGCTGATTTATGTCAACAAGATAACAATAACTATCTGGCTAACACAGATACTGAAGCTAATGAGAACTACTGATATGTTAAGCATTATGTAATGCTTGTTAACGACCACGTGGAAATTATTATATGGCTCTAATTTCTCACCTCTGAGATATCTGACTTTGAGATACTCGGAGCTGGCTTTCTGTCCCAAGAGAGGGTCGTTGAGCATGACTTTCGTCTGAGCTTTAATGCCCTCGTAGAACTGGCCCATGGCCACATGACTGAGACCCTTCATGTACTGACACACTTCATTATAGGGCTCCAGCTGCAGACATCTCTGAAAGACAACATGATAAAACACTAGTGAAACAAACAACCACAGGACAGCAGACCAAATGTGCAATCCAAGCTACAACTGTCAGCATCTGACCAGAATAACTCAAAAACATGTTCGTTTTGAGATTCAATACAAGAATTGAATAAAACGACACGAGGAAAACACAATCGTGTGTAAGTGACTTTTTAAAAATCAATGGTATTGATATCGTAAAGAAGGACTTTGGAGTTGCACTACTCTCCACAGGTCATCTTGACTGAAAAAAAAAAAGTCTACTTGATCTTCCCAAATAAGTAACACAGATGAATCCATTTAAACAAACACAAATTATTTAAAGTAACAGTTCACCCAAAAATGTTACTTCTGTAGTTTACGCATCCTCATGTTGCTGCAAACCCATTAGACTTTTGTTTGGCTTCAGAAACACAAATTAACATTTTTTGCGAGAACAAACCTCATTGGTTCTTACGTGTCAAACAAGTGCTTTGAGCTTCTGTTTACCATATGCAATGCGATCTATGCATGTGGGGTAATCAATGTTTTCAAATATTCATATTAGGGTTGTGACGGTGAGGAAATTTTCCCACTGGTTAATCGACGTGTGACAACACCGGTAATACCGGTATCACCGTGTATTCACCGTTGGCGTTCCCCTCTTTTCCTCGCTTTCCTTCGCTTTTAAATAGCTTGTAAAAGCGGCTTGCGCATTTTACTTTCACTTTCAAATAGCGGCAATTCGGCGTAAAGCAATTGTTCGTTTTTAGTTCGTTTGAATTTTCCCTCTTTTCCCTTCGCTTTTAAATAGCTTAAACGAGGCGTGCGCATTTTACTTTCACTTTCGAATTAGCGGCAGGTCGGCATCAATTGCTTGAATGCAACAACAAAATACAACGTCAAACTCACTTTAGCCTATATATAAAACATAGAACCTTTATTAACAAAACAAATACAAATACACCATGCTATAGGGCAGGCTATGCCTAATATAAAATAACTAACAAAGTTTAAATATACAAAACTGGAAATAGGCTAAGTAAAGATGTATAATATATAACCAAATAAATAAGAAACGTAGAACGTTTATTAGCAAAACGAGTAAGAAAGCTTGGAGGCACGGCATACACCTTGATGTCAAATAAAATAAATAAATGACACGGTTTAAACAAAGTAAAAATCAGCAAACAATGTGGAACCAATCAAATAAGAAACGAATGTTTAAAAAAACGTCCAAAATGACCTTAGATAAACGTCAAAAGTCAACAGGCTTTTCCAAATCCAAACTTTTGCCAAACAGGCGCTTCTGCATCTCGTTTCGAAACGAAATCATCTGCGATCGTCTAGTCTGTCTCCACTCTTCTTGTCAGTCAGCTCGACTCACTCTTCTCACTGGAGAAATGAAATCGGCAACTGTCGTTCAACTGCATTGAGCAGCCGCGTTCAGTTTTTAATTGTAGTGTCTGTTCTTTTACTGAACTAAATGATTTTTATTACTATAAAAAATAAAAACGATGGTGGGGGTCGGTGACGCGGTGGGCAAGTGACGTAACCGGTGTCGCGGCTTAACACCGTCACCGTCAACACCGTCTATCGCGGCAAGCCTAATTCATATGGATTACTTTTACATTGTCTTTATGAACTTTTTGAAGCATCAAAGTTTTGGTGGAATGGACATTTCGATGGAGGAACAGAAATCTCTCAGGTTTCATTAAAAATCTTCAATTGTGTTTCAAAGATGAACGAAAGCCTTGTGGGTTTTGAGTGACATAAAGGCGAGTAAATGATCACAGAAGTTTCATTTTTGGGTGAACTTTGCTTAAACTCCACTAGCAGCATATACTGTCAATTACAACATAAGATCATTTTGAGTTGACCCTCACTTTGTAAAAACACTTAGTAGAAAAAAAATTTAAGTCAACCGTTCAAGGTATTCTGAAATGATTTGTGGATCTTGTATTTTTGCTAAAGCTTATAAGAACTAGGGCTGTCAAAATGGCTGAAAAACTACATTTGAATTTTGTACTTAATTATCAAAATTCGAATTATATTCGAATTTAAAATGCATAATTTCAGTTAGGGTGAAGAAAAGCTTTTGGCTTCTTTTCGGAGGCCACAAAAGGGCGCATCAGCAAAATATTACTAATGCACGTTTATTCAAAGCATAAGGTAACATGACTATCTGTGAAAATAATGTTTAAAATAATGTTTATAAACCAATTATAATTAATTAAGTTGCTTAAACAACTATAAACAAAACAGCATCATGCATGTATGCATAGTTTAATACAAAGGGCGGAAAGCCAATCACACAGAGTACATTTTTCATTTAAAAACATGAGATGCAGTGGGATGGGGGGGAAAAACCCCATAAAGTCTCGATATATGTTTTTTTCAAAGTTGAACTTGCATTAATTTGACATGGCTTTCTAAACATGCAGTTCTTTTGTGCGAGATGCGAGTGCAACGGTGATAGATGTCCATCTAGAAAATGCGCGAAATATGAGTTCTGTGTGAACGGCTTGGTTTTAGTTTTGACGTAAACAAGATCTTCTCACGATTGATGTTCTCTTTTTCCGCAATATCTTTAATGAACAACGCAGCAGCGCCTAACAAATACTTATAATGCAACGACACTTACATCGTCATCGCATCTCGTGCGCCACTGATAAGGCTACCTCCAACGCTCACCTAAAATTCGAATGCAACGTTTTTGCATTCGAATGTGGATTTTTATTTTAAATTTGATTTTTTTTTTTTGACAGCCCTAATAAAAACTGATATGAATTCTTCTGTATTCTTCCTTATATTCATTTTACTGCAATGTAATATACAGTACTTCCCATTAAAACTGAATATTTACTGGGAAATAATGTACAGTAGGATTCGATTTGATCTTTCAAGAATTGTTTTGATTGGAACATATTGGGTTATGATATTAACATTCAATACATTAAGTAATCTGTCTACTTCAAATCTATTTTACTTCATGTTGTTTTTACGGATTACTACTGCCAACAAAGAGGTAAATACAACACCATTTGGGACGCACATGATCGATTTACCTTAAAGCTGCCTATGGCCTCCTGCAGGCTGCCGTGGTGGTACAGCATCATTCCTCGGAGCTGGAGAGACTGGATGTGGTTCTGATCCAGTAACAGAGCTTTCTGGAAGCTAGTTTTTTTCGCTGTATTTTGATCAAATAAATGCAGCTTTGGTGGACATAAAAACATAAATTGACTGACAGGAACAGAACACAGTCAACAATTTCATTAGTCCAACAAAAGTTTTGCAACAAAACAAAATGACATGATTAATTAATACTGAAGTCTCAAAGGTATAGTAGCAACAGCAGCCAGTTTGCTTCGTAGGGTCAGAAAATGGTCATGGAAAACTAATAGAGATGTCACATTAGCGTAAAAAAAAAAAAAAATCCGTTATGAATTATCAATAGTGTAGCGATGTATGAGGCACAGCTCACACAGATGTTACTTTTCTGCATGACCAGAAAATATTTAACAGTGGGGAAATATTTCACCCTTATGCAATCACACAGATTATTTTTCAAAGTACTGGATTCTGCGCTATCTGTCCACTCAGGACATTAAATGAAGAGATCTATACATTACAATAACACTTTACCAATCTATTCAAGTCAAAATCAAAGTTTACTTGACAGATAAGATGGCTGTGTCTGTGCACCTCTGATATGAAGAGCAGTGTTCCTCGGTGTCTGTAGAGTCGGGCTGAAGGCTGCAGTTGTATGGCTTTAGTCAGGTCTGACAGAGCTTCACTGATGCGGCCCAGAGGAGACAGAATCTGAAATCACATGCTTCATCATTACCACTAAACACTTCATAAACTGTCTTAATTTGTCAATCCCTCGTTCCTCACCTCCGCCCTCTGCTCGTATACTTCTGGTCTGCTGGGCTCCAGTGCGATCACTCTGCTCAACTCATACAGAGCCAAGTCTGCATTCTTTATGTCCTTCAGAGAGAGAGAGAGAGAGAGAGAGAGAGAGAGAGAGAGAGAGAGAGTTACCTTCAATCATATGTTCAGCTATGACTACAAACGCTACAAAAATATTTAGTAGTGTTTGATAAACCAACATACACACACACTCTTGTTCAAAAGTTTGGAATAATTAAGATATTTAAATGTTTTTGAAAGTCCTTTATGTTCACAAAGGCTGCATTTATCTGATTTGAAAACAAAGGAAAAACTGTAACATTGTGAAATATTATTTAAAATAACAAATTTCTGATTGAATACATTTTAAAATGTAATTTATTCCTGTGATGCAAAGCTGAATTTTCAGCATCATTACTCCAGGCTTCAGTGCCTTCAGAACGACCGCATAGCAACACCCTAGCAACTGCCCTGGGTACCCTAGCAACCCCTTAGCAACCAACCCGAGTACCCTAGCAACCGCACAGCAACACCCTGATCCTTCAGAAATCATTCTAATATGCTGATTTTCTGCTCAATTAATCAATTTGTGCTCAATTATTAATAATGTTTCTTATTATTATCTATTTTGAAAACCTTTCTTACTTAAAGGGTTAGTTCACCCAAAAATGAAAATGAGGCTGCATTTTACTCACCCCCGAGTCATCCTAGGTGTATATGTCTTTTTTCTTTCAGACGAATCCAGTCGGAGTTAAATTCAAAATTGTCTTTGATCTTTCAAGATGTTTAATGGCACTCAGCGGGTGTTGCATGCTTCAGTCCAAAAGAACTTAAATAAAAATCGCCCATCCATAAAAAAAAAGTGTCTCACACGGCTCCGGGGGGTGAACAAAGGCCTCCTGTAGCGAATAGATGTGTTTTTGTAAGAAAAATATCCATATTCAAAATGTAATAATCACTTTAATGTAGCTTGCGCTCACTGTTGTACACGGAAGCAGCTCCGGGGCGGATGACGCATGAGTTCAGCATTGCGCATGCGTGTGTGTGTGTGTGTGTGTGTGTGAGGGGGACAGGGTCACATCACAGGAGAGTGAACTGCCTGTCAGAAGTGATAGTGAAATCTGTTGTACCATTATAAATGTTTTTGTTTTTTAACCCTAAACTTCCTATCATGTGACACTGAAGACTGGAGCAATGGCTGCTGAAAATTCAGCTTTTCCATCACAGGAAAAACCTAAATTTTAAAATGTATTAAAATACTAAACAGTTCTTGTGAACTGCAACTTTATTTTATAATATTACTGTTTTTACATATTTTTTTATCAAAAATGCAGTCTTAGGAGACTTCTTTCAAAAACATTGAAAAAAATCTTAAAGGGCTCATATGATGCGATTTCAAGTTTTCCTTTCTCTTTGAAGTGTTACAAGCTCTTGGTGCATAAAGAAGATCTGTAAAGTTGCAAAGACTAACGTCTCAAATCCAAAGAGATATTCTTTATAAAAGTTGAAAAATAATGTGTTTTTTGAACATTAAAGCATGTCAACATATTGTTACACCAAATACACAAAATAATGATCTTTAAAATAGCATCATATGACCCCTTTAATTATTCCAGACTTTTGACTGGCAGCGTAAAGCAAACGACTGACCTGCAGACTCTTTTTGCCGTAGGCTATTCCCCGTCCATAGATGGCACTCACCAGCTCAGGATCTCCCTGGTGATAGAGGACAGCTCTTTTGTGATAGTGCTTAGAACAAGTTCACCATTACCACACAATCAACTATCATTACTTTTACTTCAGTCCCAACAAAACTGACCTGTAGCAGTAAGGAGAAGTGCTTGATAGCTTCATCAAAGAGGCCATTTCCAATGAGAACATAGCCAATGGCTGAAATAAACACAAAACCGTGTTAGCGGAGAACATCAACCAAAGACAAGTGCAAAATACACACTTGCCAAAGTCAAAACAATGAGAAACACAGCCGACACACACCAAGCTCTTCATTGGTATTTTGGTTTTCCACAGCGAAAGGAAACCGTCGCTGTTCGACAAACAACTTTGCCTGATTCTGTGGCGACAGAAAGAGAGAAAGAAAGAAAAACACGTCAGGAAGTCCGTCAACCTCCAGCAATCAGTCCAAGCCACCAGTGGTTAACAACAACACTGTGAAGAGACCCATAATTTACAGAGGACTAGCAAAACACCTTTTCTGTGCTGGATAGGAAGTGTTTTGGTTTTGGCTCGACGCGCTTCATGTGTCGTTTTACAGTGTTCTAATTTCTAAAGAGCAGGTGTTGAAGGAACCGTTCACCTGAAAATGAAAATCCTGTCATCATTTCTCTTTTGAGTTCCAAAGAAAGTAAGTCAAAACGAGAGTAAATAAATAATGACGGAATTTTCATTTTGGCCTGAACAATTCCTTTAACATTGTGTAATATGATGCAAATGCAACTCACAAGTATTTTCTCTGCATTGAGTGAAAAGATGGACTCGCAGGACGGGTTGCTCCCCTCTTCACAGTCCGGATCCTCCAACTGCAGGATAGATGACTCTGATGGACCAAAGATTTTTAAAAATGTGACTAACCAAATGACTTTGGCTTGAACTAAACGCAATGAATGTTGTTTGCTGCAGAACCCAAATCAAGTGGCGACCAGATACAGTACCAAAATCATATAATGCTTATAGAATAACAAGTTAAAACATGTTATCCTCGCTGTAAGTGAATCTGTATTAAATGTAGTCTGGATTGTTTTTACCATGCACAGTTTTGTTCATGGATTAGGGATAGTTCACCCAAAAAAAAAAAAAAAAAAAAGATCATTTACTCACCTTCCAGCACAAAAGAAGCTATAGTGGATGATTGATAGTTGATGGTAGCCATTGATTTCCTTAGTGTGGGAAGAAGAAAAAAACTACAATGGAAGTCAGTGGCTACCGCCAACTATTTGGTTTCCATTTCTCAAAATATTTTCTTTTGTGCTCATCATGAGTTCATTAGATTCTTTCATTATGGGTTACTAGGATTGTATGTCAAGGCTCCTTTGGATCAAAACACAATCTGAAACAGAATACCAAGTCACCAGGGTAACAGCAATAGTTTGAAACACAATACCATAGTTACTTCCTACAGTTATTGTTACTATTGAAAACAGTGGACTCCTGTTATTTGTGTTTTCATGGCACTCATTAAAGTTACTTCAAAGAATACCATGATCATTTCCAAACCACCATTGTAATGCCAAGCTACATCTGCTGAAAGCAATCTTGAACTCAATGACACCCAATACAAATGTTCTTGTCCTTCGTGTTGCTGTGCAACATGCATGAGACATCAGAGTCCTGCATGCATGATCTGAGATTCTGCAAGCATTTTTAGAGTCCTGCATGCATGATCTGACATTCTGCAAGCATTTTTAGAGTCCTGCATGCATGATCTGAGATTCTGCAAGCATTTTTACAGTCCTGCATGCATGACCTGAGATTCTGCAAGCATTTTTAGTGTTCCTGCATGCATGATCTGAGATTCTGCAAGCATTTTTAGAGTCCTGCATGCATGATCTGAGATTCTGCGAGCATTTTTACAGTCCTGCATGCATGATCTGAGATTCTGCAAGCATTTTTACAGTCCTGCATGCATGATCTGAGATTCTGCAAGCATTTTTACAGTCCTGCATGCATGATCTGAGATTCTGCAAGCATTTTTAGTGTTCCTGCATGCATAATCTGAGATTCTGCAAGCATTTTTACAGTCCTGCATGCATGATCTGAGATTCTGCGAGCATTTTTAGTGTTCCTGCATGCATGATCTGAGATTCTGCAAGCATTTTTACAGTCCTGCATGCATGATGCGTGTCACTGCAAGCGGAAGAGTGTGAATCAGACACACATTTACATCAGGACGTGGCAGAAACTCACCGCAGTCCGGTGCATACTCCTCCCACTCGGCCGGAGAGCTGCAGCCGTGCTTGTGAAGGTCGCTGTTGAAAAAAGTCAAGGTGGAGAAATACTCGCTGGATAAAATAGCTCCGCATAAGTACAGCAGCGACAGAGCCGCCAGCACAACACCCCCGCCAGCAGGTGCCATGTTGTGAGTGATGTAATGAGCAGGTGAGGAACGGTGCAGTCTGGGTAATGTAGTTGGGGGAACTGAATCCCTAGTGGCGACGGAGGTAAAAAGAACTACATTTCCCGTCAGCAGCCTGATCAGCCCCGCCACTTATGGAGGTTCAGGAAGCAGTAGGAGTGTTTTCATGCTGTCATATGAAGAATGGCACCGGGACTGTTTAAATGCGTCGAGTGTAACGAAGATGCAAACGAACTGCATCGAGATTACAGCAACGGAATACTGAAGATCACCATATGTGTGAGTGCTTCATAAAGTTTAGTTTGTTCTCTGTTCTGTTCAGGTTAGCATGCTCACAACTTAGGCCTGATGTAACGCACATACTAAGAGCACGGCCGTTTGTCACTATTTTACTCTCCAGTTCATTTAATTTCTGTATTTATGTATATTTTGGTTGGGGGAAAAAATGAAACATTTAACCATTATTGCCCAGAAAAAAAAAGAAAGGAAAAAAAACGGTAATGTTGCAAATGACTGTTATTGACAGCGACCTTTAAACAATAAATACATAAATAATAAATATTATCTGACGCCGTAAAGCTAAGTTCCACGAAATATCTGCATTTGAGATATATTATAGGCTTTTTAATGGCTTTCAGCAAAATGTAAGTACGTTATAAAACCCAAAACTAATATTTCATGAAAAAAATATGCATATACAGAATTATAAAATCAGTGTTTTGGCGAACATAAATTGTCATTCACAATTGATGTGGGTTTTCTTTTTCCCCCTCTGCAGAGTTCATGCAAGAAGCCAGTTGACAAATACATCGAATACGATCCAGTTATTATTCTGATAGATGCCACTCTATGCAAAATCCAGGCCTTTAGACATATCCTCTTCAACACTGAGATCAATGTGAGTGAAACTTTTTGACTTTACAGCTTTTGGGAAAGAGAAAAGCGCATGCAGAGTGTGTGCAGAATACAGACTGCGTGAATAGTGTTGTATTGTGAACGCAGCCTCTGTTCCTCTCTCTCTAGATATATTATAGGCTTTTTAATGGCTTTCAGCAAAATGTAAGTACGTTATAAAACCCAAAACTAATATTTCATGAAAAAAATATGCATATACAGAATTATAAAATCAGTGTTTTGGCGAACATAAATTGTCATTCACAATTGATGTGGGTTTTCTTTTTCCCCCTCTGCAGAGTTCATGCAAGAAGCCAGTTGACAAATACATCGAATACGATCCAGTTATTATTCTGATAGATGCCACTCTATGCAAAATCCAGGCCTTTAGACATATCCTCTTCAACACTGAGATCAATGTGAGTGAAACTTTTTGACTTTACAGCTTTTGGGAAAGAGAAAAATGCAGAATACAGACTGCGTGAATAGTGTTGTATTGTGAACGCAGCCTCTGTTCCTCTCTCTCTAGATCCACTGGAAACTGTGTGTGTTCTGTCTGCTGTGTGAGGCGTATCTGCGCTGGGCCCTCCTGCAGGGGTCCCAGTCCAACGATGACCCCGCTGATATCATCCGGTACACTAAAGAGTGGGAGTTTTACTGCATGTTTGCACTGGCTGCACTGGGTAAATCACTGTTTTTAATGAAGTCAGACACTGACTAATTAGATGGAATTAGTCAAGTGAACTAATTGAGTTGCTGGGTGAAGACGAAGTGTAGAGGTTATGCATTTTTATGAAGGTATTCTGAAAGATTTAGGGCTTTGAGGTCTGTTTTTGTAGCTTCCCACATGCCTGGGTCATTATTCGCCCCAAAATCGCTAAATCTAAAGGGGGAAAAAAGTGTATAAACTAAGAGTTTGAGGTCGGTAAGATTTATTTATTTATTGTAAAGAAGTCTCTTATGCTTGCGGTCGAATGTTAGAACAATTGAGATATTTTAATGCTTTTGAAAGTCTCTTATGTTGAGGCAGCATTTATTTGATTAAAAACAGGAATATTGTGAAATATTATTACAATTTAAAATAACTCTTTTTTTTCTATGTATTTATTTATTTGAATATATTTTAAAATGTACTTTATTCCTGTGATAAAAAGCTGAATTTTCTTCAGCATCAGAGTCACATAATCATTCCGAAAGCATTCTAATATGATGATTTGATGATCAAGAAACATTTCATAATCGCAGTGGAAAACAATTTGCCGGTTTCTCTTTTCCAGATTCTTGAATGAATAGAACATTCAAAAGAACAGCATTTATTTGAAATGTTTTTTTTTGTAGCAACATTTATCATGTAACAGCTTTACTGTCACTTTTTTGATCAATTTAATGCATCATTTCTGAATATAAGTATTAACTTCCTAAAAAAAATTTAAAATCTTGCTCGGCCCAAATCTTTGAACAGTAGTGTTTATGGTAGGATTTGTTCTCCTTGCACTCCTTCACATTGCATTATTTTCTGACTGTAATATAGAAAGAATTTGATTACATTAATGAGAATATCTTGAATAATAATTAGGGATGCACCGATATGAAAATTTTGGCCGATACCGATAACCGATTATTCTTTATTTTTGAAAGCCGATAACCGATATGTTGGCCGATAAATCTATATCCAAATTGTTATATACTTTTTGAGAGCCTGATTACAAAAAAGGTCTCATCATTAAAAGCCACATCCCAAACACTTCAACATAAGCAGCCTAGTTTGAACGGTGTACGTTTTAAAAATATTTTTACTTTCCCATTACCAAATTTAGTCATAAAAAAGTCTTACAAATAAATAAAATAATGCATAAATAATGCAAACAAGTCACTGGACATCATTACACGTGTAGAATCAAAAATACAAGTGGTTCTTGTTATTAATAATGTATCAATGATTTTGAAAAAGTAACAAATGAATACCACTGTTTTAAATAGCAGCCATTGAGCTGCGCGTGCTGAAGCTGAAGAGCTGAATGAACATGGTAAACTGAAGCGTTTTGCTGGCAGCTTATTTAACTCAAGGAAATGCATCCTGAGATTAATATTAATACAACATAAACATAATATTACAACTTATATATGTACAAAATGACGCAGTTATTGCATGCTATAGTCAGAATGTGTGATCCTGTTGTGGATGCGCTCTTCCCATAACAACGCGCTGAAACATGGCAACTAAACCCAAAGAATTCACAATGTTTTATTATAATAATGTTCTCATTAGAATTTTATATACACGACATTCCCAATCATAGTTATTAATGTTGTGCACTGCTGTTTGAGCTGCGTGTGCTGAGCTAAAGATGATCACTGGTAAACTGAAGCGCTCTTTTAACTTAACCAAACGCATTCTATATGAGATAAATCAGATATACATCAAATAAACACAATATTACAATGTACAATTGCACAAAAGGCTGCAAACGAACAGCGCGCATCTGAAGTGTCTCTGAAGGAAATAATGCATTATTTATCGGCTTTAAGATATCGGCCAAATTTTCTTATCAGGCCGATACCGATAACAGAAAAAATCAGCATTTATCGGCCGATACCGATATGGTGGCCGATATATCGTGCATCCCTAATAATAATACTTTTTTAAAAATCCAAAATTAAACATGTGGATGCAACATGATTTTCTGTCATGAAAATAGTCACCCTGCTAAAAAACAATCTTAATATTGTTTTTATTTTGCAAATTATTGTTTATTTATTTTTATTTTTTAAATGCATTATATACATATGTATGAACTTGTTTGTAATGTTCTTCATGTTTTAAGTCGCTTTTGATAAAAGTGTCTGCTAAATGAATAATATGTCCTGGACATATTTTCATGAGATTCATCCAAGTACTACCATGATGTAGATGCACTTACAATTTAATATAATATACAACTGAAAATTTAATTTCTGTATTATATTATGCATTATAGCTAATATATTTATATAGCTAATTTATAGATTTTTACTACTGTAATGCAAAATATTGCAATACAGTAATGAGAAACAGAATATTTTTTGTACTTTACCATAATGAGAATTTGGGAGATAATGTGCGTGATTGTCATTAAAATAATGTCACAATGCAGAAATTCACCCTATAACAGCATGTTCTTTGTGTATGTCTAGAGTTGGCCGTGTTCTGCATAGGTGTGTTGTTCATTCTCTGGACGGCGCAGTGCTGCTCTGGTTCCTCTGTAGAATTCACTCCGCTGTTGAAGGCGCTTCTGCTCTCCAGCTACGGCAAAGTGCTGCTAATTCCAGCTGTCATCTGGGAGCACAATTTCTCCCCGCTCTGCTTCAGCCTCATACGGCTGTTCGTCCTGACCTCCAATTCACAAGCCATAAGAGGTGAATATCAACAAACACCTACTTTTATGGAATGCATGCACGTTAAACACACTCACAGGCAGCGCAAGATATCCGTACACTCTCTTTCATTCACATAAACACCCAGAGGCAAAGTGAAATGTCCACATCACACTTACAGAACCAAAGTAAACACTCTCTCTCCTTCTTTCCCACACACATGCGTTCACACAGAGGATTGTATTGTTTTGAGTGGGCCTTTGTTTGCGTGTGCGAACCAACCTCAGCAGTTCCTGGAGTGTGTGCAGATGTTTCACCAGCACTGTTTTAGGAATATCAAGAATACTAGTATGCTGGTACCAAGTTAATGCAAAATTTGTTTTAAAAAAAGGAACAAAATGCATGTGTATTTAAGGGAATAGTTCACACAAGGATGAAAAGTTAGCTGAAAATGTGCTCACCCTCAGGAGATCCAAGATGTAGATGAGTTTGATTCTGCATCAAAACAGATTTGGAGAAATGTAGCATTCCATCACTTGCTCACCAGAGGATGCTCTGCAGTGAATGGGTGCCGTCAGAATGAGAGTCCAAACAGCTGATAAAAATATTATAATAATCCACAAGTAATCACAAGCTGCATGTTTGTAATAAACAAATCCATCACTGGGATGGCTTCAGTGAATAAGGCGTCTAGTCTGAATCAGGAGAGAAATATGCACGGATCAAGCACCGTTTATAAGCAAAAACACTCCAAAACAA